GCAAATGCAATGAATGATAGCCGCAAAATTTGTTTGTAAAGTTGAGTGTGTCGTATTGCTGGCGAAGAAAACTGGTTTCACGAGTAAAACCTATTGAATGAAGGATTCCAGATAAAGAATAGTGTGTACAAACTACGCGTCGATCGCAAGTAAAATTAGAAAAACCACATGTGCAGCACACGGTACCCCGCTATTGAATAAAAGCAAAGTGAATTTCTCATGGTTGATAGAGAATAACAACTCAACAAACATTTTACGATAATAGGCATAGTGGGGATGATTTCCTACCTAAATTCTACGGTACAAAAATTATGAACTCTTAAGTCAATCAAAACCGTAAGAACAAGCAAGAGCGCCAGATATGACGGATGACATGCAAATCCTACGGATATCTTTACTTGCGCAAAGACAAAAACCGCATTATAGGATGTAGAACCGAAGCGCGGGCTCACTAATGCCTACAAAAGGTCTTTGCATGGACTACTTTGCTCATAATCATCCATCAGAAAAAAAATTTTTCTTGTTTTCTGGTGGGCTCACCGATATCATTCATATGCTGACCGGTGAAAAAGTTACTCAAGTTATACTTAATGACAAAGTTATCGAGAATCCTATAAGCCCATTGCAAGTAGTTATAGCATAAAGCAGTCAAAAGCCATCCAAAGGTACAGTAGCAGTATATGGATCCCCCAAGTTTGGGAGGACGAAGGAACCCAAGTACACAATGGGGCGCTTTGCTAAGGTTTTGCTCAAACTTTTATTAGCTATGGAATAGCACGCAAAATAAGAAAGCAAAAAGGACTCAGAAGTAAAGATCAACAATTAAAAATCTGAATAGTAATCTTTCGAGAGTTTAAAAGAAGTAAACAAGAGAAAACTTCTGAACTAAAAGAGATGAATTCATGAATATCACATCAACACGCATGCATTGAAGCTGGTATGCTAATTTCAATACCCAAAAGTAGTTTAAGCCAGTGGAAGGGTGCCTTTAGGGGTAAATTGTAGTGATCGCTTAGGCAACAAATTGTGAAGAAAGTCGTTGCAATGGCTAGCCCTAAAGACACACATAACGATGAATCGCTGTGATCCCGTAGAAAAGTTCAAGCACACACAAATGGAAGGTCCATTTTTACAGGCAATATTAAAAACAGAGGACAATCTTATTACGCGAAGTGAGGATCACTGAGCTGAGGCGAGAAAGTAAGGAGAGGAGATTTGGTTTAATTGAGCGTGAACCCAGCATTAGTCAGCTCGGGTGCGTGTACCCAGGCCCTGCTGCGATAAATCGCCACTACCACCACGGAAGCGCTTGCACCCCCGTCCTCCTTCTAAGTAGGCACGTAGGTTTCGATGCCAACCCGTACAACCACATAATTAGAACCCAAGCACAAATGCAATCACCAAAAGGCACTCCACTAGCAACTCTGCGGGTACAATCCCTCCAGTCCAATTACGCGACAATAAGTGTAATAGTAGTAAAAAAGACAACGCTAAATGGACACACCCTGTTCTTAACTCTAGGTGTCCCATCGACCATTGTTCACTTCAGTCCTGGAGACCAAAATGAGCTTCAACTACTTCGAGTTGGCACATCAAGCTGATGAAGAAATCGATTACCAGGCCATGACAATCAGGTTTGGATTGCAAACCAGATGGTGTAACTAAGAGTTGTCTACATCAGCGAAAGCTGAATTAGTACTTGCTAAGCAACATCGACTTTTAAGAGGATGTGATCGTAGAAGGATCTGCAGGAAATATGAATAAATGGCAGGGCTGCCATTCTAGAAACAAATCAGACAGGCAGAAAGTGTTAACAAGACTTGAAGGCAGTAAAAACGTAAATATATACAGGGTAATAAAAACTAGCTGAGATCAAGATGGTTCAGCCAGGACAAAAGAAAAAGGAGGGAGTGCAGGGAAATTAAAGTTCGATTCCCAAAATTGAGTCAATATTAATGCTGGGTCGAGCTTAGACAAACACCTAAGCAGAGTGCACATTGCCAGCACATAATCACGTATTAAAGAGAAAAATTCGCACATCAATATGGAAATACATTCTTATTTTAGCAATGCAGAGCGGATAGCCCTAACAAAGGACGAAAGAACTTGCTTCTCAAGTAAAAGCAGAATTCACTATAGTTCACAAATTACCACAGATTTTCAAAGCGGATGCGTTAAAAAGTGTCATTTAAGGGTGGACACAAATGCCATTAATAAGTTCTGCAGCCTTGAAGAGCAATCGCAACATAAGCGAATTGTACAAGCACTTACATCTCAGAGGCAAATGTTTCCCTGGCAGATTCAATGTCAAGAAAGGGAGAGCGGTCGGTGTCAATACGATGTGATCTGGGGCAATAATTAACGGAGAGATGCTGATGGCCTTCCATAGGCTCTCCTGGTACCACCTCCTCACAACTTGCTAGCCTGATAGGGTTCATATTCACGCCCCTGTAAGCCTTGGGAGCTGGTGATCGTAGGGGCAACTCCAATATAGGCTTTCGCGTGAAAAGAACATCCGATCGCTCAACCAGCACGCCCATCACGTGGTTGATCAAACTTTGGTTCGTCAATCCCTGGAGCAAGGGAAATGCAGGCGACTTCAAGAATTGAAGTAACCCTTCCTCCTCTTTGAAGTATTAATGCGGAAAACATGTTTGAACACCAGCCTTAGAAGCCAATGCCGTCTCGTTTAATTTTGGAATAGACATTTAAATACACTATTCAGGCAATCAATAGCACTCAAAAGCCACTTTCAGTCACAACACGCCTACTGATTTTCCGATCACGAGTTCAGACAACGAGAACCCGAGCCAAGGCGACGAATGAAAAATGGAAAATATGCTAAATTCGGAATCAATATGCGTTAACTCACAATTCGCAGGACAAAAGAATGCTGCTCTACCATAACAAAAGTGAGTGCAGAGGAGAAGGGTGGAAATGCAGAAGGTAGAAAAAAATGCAAAGTTTTTGCGTTTGACTCGAATATGAATTCAGCATTTCGATTAGGTGTGAAGAAATGCTACTACAGAAAGTAAAAAAATAGTACCTAAGTTGACTACACTACCCCAAAATTTGATTGTATCTGCCTTTCATCACGCATAGTTAAGAACAATAATTGGGCTTCCAGACATATCTGTGCAGCTATTTCTAGTGAAAAAAGTAAAATAACTAGATTAACAACATAACTTCCGGAAATTTAGACGGATAGAAGTTGAGATCTGTGAGAAATGAACATACACACACTCTCAAAGGCATGAAACCACCTCATCAATGAGAAGAAGCATGAGTTATGCAGCAGATTATGTGACTGCAAAAATGTTGATAGAATTGAGGCTGATAATTGGCATTTTGAAAAGGCCACTTGGGGTTTGTGTTTAAGGGCATAAAAGGCGACGAAGGAACGGGAGGATTAGAATAACAGCTGCTCCAGCAGTTTCCTGTTAGTCTTAATTTGTCAGGTATTCACTTCCGAGTGTGACAAGGAAGAAAGGTAACGAAATAGTAGATGACAAATCTTCCAATAAAAAGCGAAACTGCTAAATAAGTTCATACTCCCAAAAAACAGTAACCGCAATTAATAGCATCAACTTACATCGAATTCACTCGGAACGCGAAAAACATTAGGACCAAATATAATGCCAATGGATGTACTGTTCATCTTGTTTTGACTCTGGTAATGTGTCACCTGACGAAGAAAGCAGCACAGGTACTCAAGCAGGCGGAAATTTGGAGGAGGAAGAGAACGAATGATGCGCTCAATTACCACAAGCGAATCCTCGGCGTGAATACTATATTCCTTTCACAAAAAAGGATTTCAATAATAAAATATGAAAGAAAGCTATTCAGGGTGAACTGAAATCCTGTGATATTCTACCGAAACGCATAACTCGTAGATAGCTCATGCATGTTAGAGAATTTATGGAAAATGAGTGCCTAAAGAGGGTGAGGATTTCAACTACTTTACTACCAAATCACTAAAAGAGGCTTCATAATTAATAGTAATCTGCATGAGTCCTGGAGTGGTGCGTAAGACAGCGTTCTTCCACTCGAACGTGGCAGTAAAAAATCGAATGCATCAAGAGCAAACCTTGTGAAATAAAGTTAATTCAAAGACAACTAAAGTATTCACGTTTTAGGCCATAGCTTACTTCAAGTAACGCCTTGGTGTGAGGCTCTGGAACAAGTCCAACGGGAAGTTCACGGAGAAAAAGCTTTATAAGACTGGCAACAGAATGAATATCTCCGTAGCGTTCAAGGTGAGCGAGAAAAATGTCACCATCCCCTGTTGATGCGGATGAATCAGCAGCAATTCGGAGATTCTCGATCACACGCGAGTTACCGTTAATTCTGAAGACACCTTCAGCACAAAGACCCCCGAGAGCGCGAAGAAAAGCGCATAGTTGTATAATGATAAGAGGCACATTTTGGCCATCCCTAGCACAAAGTTCATCTAATCGAACGCCGAAACATCCAGGCACCACAGAGGAAAATCCATTTGCTTTTCTTTTTACCACAGGAGCAATGTTGGGTGGACTGGTATTAAACTGGCGAAGAAACTTCTCCATGACTGCACAATCCACAAAAATTTCACAGTATAAAATTAGATCAGTAAAAAACTGACAAATCTTGTGGCAATGGGGTGCTATGGCATATCAAACTGACCGAAAGCCTGAAGGCCATAACGAATGTTGAAAACAATACCACCCTTATGTTTCAAAAACTCATATACTTACAAAAAACCAGTCTAAGTGAGTCCCAAAAAGCAAAAAATTACAAATTTCAAGTGAACACTGACAATGTCCATAGTAAAAAACCCGTTGGAAGCAGCAACAAGGCGTACAAAACGAAACACGTACTGAGCCATATGCTACGATTTTGGGGACGGCGCGTAATATCTAAGGGCTCTGTAAGTTGAT